GTGTGCTTTCTTTTGTTTTGTTTCATCTCAACGGAATATATCTGGAAAAGTGCCATGTAGGCAATCGTACATACGGAACATGATGTCGGGAATCTCAATGCGGAAATAAATTGACGGCGTCTGTGATGCACCCATGTAAGTGCTCACCCTATACTTAAAAAAAGACGAGCCACAGAACCTAGGCCTGCTATGCAGGTAAATAAGCGATGTCTGTAAAAACCATCGTTTATCAGTCCCTTGTTTCTTCTGTAACCGATCGACAGCAACGAGTCATGCGATATCCCCCCGGCGAAACACCCATCCAAGTCAACCCGCCCATCTTGAATCCATGCATGAAATACGTCACCAAGGAAACACGGAACGGAACGGTAGATGTGCGGCGTCGCTGATGCCTGCAATGACAACGACATTAATTGGTTTCCTCGAGCTAGCCTAGGAATTGGTCCTCAAAACTTTTGCAATAGAGCCATTGCTCCCACATGGACGATGTCTCGCCCAGAACGAAGTAAATACAAGAATCATTACCCCCAGCACGCTCATCGCGCTACGCAGGACACCCAGAGAGCTTCTCAAAATTGGCACAGGTGATCCTCGTCTTGTTCGCAAAATGCACCACAATCGACCTGTTGCCCAAAAAGGCCGGGGTCCCTTCGGCCAGAGACGTATAGTTATCGACGTACCAAATCTCCAACCCTCGCTTGGGCTTGCCATACTTGCCGCTCAGATCGCCCACCTGGCAGGAATCCTTGGCCCTGCTATCGCAAGGGGGATCTTCGCCTCTGCCGTACGGGTCCAGGTGGGCGAGCGTCTTGGTGCAGTTGCCATCGGCGGGGACCCGGTTCTCGTGGATGTGGTAGACTGTTGCATCAAACGTCAGTACGGTCGACGGCAGGCCGGTCCAGGTATTGGGGAGAGCAAGACGTACGGAATGGTCCGCCCTCCTTGGGCAGGTTCTCAAGGCGGACGTCGAACCTGACGCCCCTGCCGTGCGGGCCACGCGAGGCTCGTACGCTCCCGCAAACGTTGCCGTGTATGTTGCCGTGGTAGAAGGCGTCTTTGGGGAAGACGGCTTGGTAGGTGACGTGGGGGTTATCGAGGACGACGGGCGCGTCGTGGGTGGCGTGGGCGATGGCAGAGATGCCAGCTACCAGGAGGGTTGAGAAGCGCATGGCTCTTGTTTCAAAGCAGCCTCGAGTGTATATGGATGACGAGTTTCAAGAGACGCATTCAAGGACGGGCGAATGTCCGTATACTGACAATGTGATGACTTAGACCTCTCTCTGTACGAGCTGTCGATGGAGCAAGCCAAAATGCGAGTCTGCACCCATTGTCCACGGGCGGCGCATCCACGCTTTTAAAAACAATCGACGGGTTCCTGCTCCTCCAAGCAAGGGCTCCAAGTGAGCAACGCAGTCTGGTGTCATGGACCAAGACAGGGGCCGGCCGTGTTGCTGTTGGGCGCAGGCGGGCCGCTTGCGTGGTACTAGACTGCTAGCACAGGCTGCGGCCGCGAAATTAGACGACAAAAAATGGGTTACACTCTCGTGTGAATGGATGGATCGGGTGTTTGCATCACACTTGGGGCCCAGATGTCGGCATGGCGCCCGCTCCGGCCCCCCGGACGACGCCATCGTACCGAGTTACCCGTATACCCGGTCTGCAGCACGCGAAACACGTCAAAATTGGGCGTGTTGATCTGTACCACCGTTCAGTCGCATGCACAGACCGTCTGCCATCAAGGCCTCTGGGAAATGAGTGCCGATCAGCAACCCCTGCCGTCGTGCTTGGAGCTGTGCCCGTGTTTCCTGCAGTCCGCCATCCACCACCAACGCCAGTCAGCAAGAACCGCGGCCTCGATCTGGATTTGTTCTTTGTACTCCGTACATACTCCGTACCCTCCAAGTCCATTCAGTGGCGGCGCGAAAATGTGCGGCGCCGCTTTTCCACCAAGCTCTTGTGGCGTTGCTCGTCCATTTTCGGTGCCGTCTAGTCTGTGTTTGCGTGTATGTATGTGATTACGGCTCTGTACGGAAGACTTTGTAAGCCACCCGGCAGCCACAATCTCAAACTATGCTCCATTTCGTGCCCATAAGTCTATGAAAACCGGTGAGTCTTTCGTCCCGCCGCATCTGGCGTTGTTGGTCAGTGTCCACATTCACCATGCGGCACCCATCCCTTCAGTCCACATCGAGTATCGGTTTCAAAGGCCCACGCTTAGCCATTCCCTTTGTATACATGTTTTCCACGTGAGATCCATGGGGGGTTGTTTCTACCATCTCACAAGGCTGGGGTTCGGCGGACGATTGTGGCTTGCGGGACGACGCATCAATGGGGCGAATGCCATTCACGACCACTTGATCGCCGCGGCACGCGCAGTCCCCGAGGCCTGCCTAATAGGGCGCTGATGTACGGAGTACTCCTTACTTCGCGTCAAGTATGCTCAATAGCCAACACAGTAGCAATCCGATTGCCTTAGGCAGCGAACTTGAGTTCTGACCTCCATCCTGAGAGCCAGGGACACGGGCACACATAAAGCTACATATACAGGTATCGGGGATATTCGGCCGCTGATTCTTTCTGCTCTCTGGCTCAACTGTCTAACCCGGCAAGCGCCGTAACTTTCTATTTCGAGGGTTGCGGCCTCGTTTGATGTATACCCTACTTTGAACCTTGTGGGCAAAATAGCCGGCTTGCTGAACCTACTTGCATGGCCCGATTGGTAACTCATTTGTTAAAAACAAGTGCGGGAAAAAGTAGCTAAATAGCTACTAAGTGTAAAAGTGCATATCTCATTGGTAGCTTATTACCGAATGCGTCATGGCGTGCTCCCAGTTTCTCCAAAATAAAAGTCTTCGAACAAGCGAGAGAAGGCAGCTTCGATACTCGTTCCCATTAGTGGGTGTTTGATGTGGTTGCTATTGCCGGGGCTTCCTTTGTTCCTCAATCATGTACGTCATTCTTCTTCTCATTGTCATTGTTATCTCGCGCTTGACTCGTTTTATGCGCCGCCGTGAGCACTAACTCGGAAGGCGGAAAAGCGTCTGGGACCATGTAGATGGCGCGATGCAAAACTTTAGATCTTATGGCTCAAAACAATACTCCGTACTCTGTAGCGGCAATGCAATTCGATTCCGGTGCCATTTTCGTCCCACCGTTTACACATGTGCATTACTTTGCACAACATATGCGCCTTGGAATCAGAAAGGGCGGCAAGAGCACTAAGCCGCATGCATTCTCAGCTCACAGCAACTATGCTCTCGCGTAGTACAAGGACCATCCAACCATCGACTCAAAGTAGACAGGTGCATTATTTACATCGCTTACGGAGCCCTTGGTGAAGCAACCCATGTGTGCCAAATTTGCCAGCCTCTGCAGCAAGGAGGCTTGAAACAGCTGACTGGATACCAAGAACGCCAGGAACTGCAGGGAAACCAGACACATTGATTGCTCCCTGCCCGCTAGACGCTTTGTGATACCGTCTCCAGCGATATTACGGGGCAGCTATGACTTGGCGAATTAGGAGGATGTAAGCCTCCGCACACGAAGTTGCCATGTTGCTCACTAATGTACTCCGTACGCAGAAAGGGCTCGCAAATTCCGGTTTCCCTTACTGCCATTTCCCATGAAGCCCTGCTACATGCATGGTAAGCATTTCAATACGTATCTATCGTCATGGGGCCTGAAATGGTGGCTCGGAAATCCAAGAAACAAGCAAGCGTGATATGCGGAGTTGAGACTCCGGCCTGGCGCCATGACTGTACGCAGTGCTGTCATGTCCGGTCCAATCGACAGGTCTCCAAGGCTTCCCCGTCTTTTATTGACACCAGAGACTTTCTGCGAGCAAACACTCCCAGTGCGGAGTACCCTGTCCTGTCAAGTCCATGGCGGTCCTGAAATGCTGAGAGCTGCCCTGCGGTGCGACCAACAGCCCCCCAGCCAACACCTCGACAGAAACATCATGTCTCGGAAAAATGCAACCTCTGACCAAATTCGTCCCATCATTTCCACAACCCGGCCTTGTTCCCTCTCCCACGACCCTGGCCTACCAGTATGGCTGCCGTCGGGCCAAGTCGTCCCATCTCCGCGGCCATGAGACATTCCACCGACTGGCACACATTTCGCACCATTGTCACCGACATGACTGTACTCCGTACATATGCTGCTTTGGGGCTGTCCATGCGACTGTGGCATTGGACGGTGAGGCACTGGCGACATGAGCGAGCTGGTATTGGGCAGCCATGGCCGTGTTTTGCACCACCATCAGACCCCTCCAATACTACGGAGTACGGAGTACATGACAAGGAATCAGGATATACGCGACAGAGAAGACCCGGTACTGATGGGAGATGGAAAATACCCTGCCACACTTGTCGCTGTCAAAGAGGCTTTCCACAGCATAGAGTGTCGTGTGATAATTGCTCGTATTGCGCGTACCAGTCGCCGCAAGGTTCAAACGGTGTCCAGTTCGTCACACTGCGCGAGCACAGCTTGGCATTTCTGTTGGATTCGACCGTCCAGCTGACGCATCACGGCCGGCATCCCAACCAAACAGTGTGTCTGGGCAAACATCGAGCGGCTTCTTCGGGTAAACCGCCCGGTGCCGATGCCGCCACCGCGGATGCGATATGAAGGCATCCCGCTGTATCATCAGGTTGCCCGGGAGCACGTATTTGCGCAATCCGAGAAACAAGCTGAATGCGAGTGGTGAATTGTTCACGTCGGGCCCAGCTTGCCCCCTTCGTCTTCTGCCATGGCCGGGCTTCGACCAGCTCGTACATGCAGGGCCAGGCATGCACCAAGCGTCCCATTGCTTAGCCGGGTTCGCTTCTTGCTCAGTGCTGTTCGCAAGTGTTGCAAGCTACGCATGTACGGAGTACGGAGTAGTACATCTCTCTCCTTTGCCAGACGGTCGCCTGGCCATTGCGTTCATGGGCAACGGCGTATGCAGCTACAGAAACTGGGGAGTCCATTACGCCGCCCTGCAGCTGCAACAGCCAATTTCAGTCTACGTGGCTACCGTATTGGGCAGTAGTAGCAGTTCCCATGCCATGGCTGGGCATGTAGCTGGAGAGAAAAATGAAGTGAAGCTGTTGCCAGTTGACGGATGGTGGTGCACTGGTGATACAGCTGGACGCCAGGAGATCAAGTCTCTGTCCCGTATCGATTCCATGCGGCAAAGGTGATGCGTTGCACGATGATGAGATCCGCGCAGGAGACTTGGACACGAACCGAGTGTTCGTCTTGGCCGCAAACTCGACCGGTGTATCCGACACCCCAGACCGGCCATGACAGATGACGGTCCTGCCATCGTTTCCAAGTTCACCGACGTCGCTGCGTCTGAGGCAAACATCTTCAGAGAAGACGTACATGGTCTTGCGAGTGTATTCGCCGCAAACGCGCTTCGACTTGCGACAGTTGCCGCCCGTTGGCTGGCCTTGATCCTTCTCTGAATACAAGTGTTACAGCCTTTAGATCTCCCCGGAATACCAACCACGTTGACGGAGCAATTTGAAACCGCGTCGCTCTTTCATGTGCCAACGGCTGAAGTCGAATCGGATAGCTTTCCCGTTGGGTAACCTCCAAGGAAGGTTAACGAGCAACTGGCCAATCGGACTAGCCATGCAAAAGCAGCTAGAAGATTTAGAAGATGGAATGCGGACAAGAGTGGTTTGCCACATGTTTTAACGTTTTGGTCCTCCAAGGCAGTGCGTCCAGAAAGAATCGAGTTACTACAAGGTGACTGGGCCATCTTACATGTCAAACTCCCTGTATTATACCCGTGCCCGTACATATATGGACGGACGTCTGGAGTTTCCGGAATGGCAGCCGGCGCTAAACTGCTTCCAGACACATTCTGCGAGAGCCAAGCCTGACGCTAGACGCCTCTGTGGTATAGCATTGATCCTCCATGTCCGGGACTCGTATACAAGCCAGCGCGTGAAGCCTGGATATATGGACTTGACGCCAAGGGCAATATAATTCCCGGCACCGCGGTTCCGCGCTTCTCATCTCACGTCCTCCACCCTAGTGCTTACAATCAACGCAAATTTACCACTGAACCCCATGTCCACGCTAGTCGCTGTTATTCCAAAGATCGTGTACAAAACAACTTTATAAGCTTTTATCTTACAACTATATCTCCTTAGATGCGGAGTAGCTCGCGGGGACTCCTCTGCCATATAATTTTCCTAGGTAAGCGAGTCTCCACGAGCCATTCCGCATCTAAAGAGATTAGCTGCGGGAGATGACGTTAGTCCCCGCCAGCTTCCTGAGCTACTATTCCTGTTGACGACAGATGAAGGCTACCATTCAGCCCCGAGATAAGCGACACATCTTGGAACTTGAGTTGCCTTCATTTATTTACTGCCGCTTGATCCAGAACAGTCCAAGGATAGTTATGCCTCACAACGGCGACTGTGTCAACGGACTTTGAAGGCTGGCAAAGCATACGACGTGTAGATTGGGGGTTTTGAACCCAAATCTGTTACCACCCACCAAGTCAAGCCAAGCCACTTCAGTGGTCACACTCAAAAGCAAGGCTCGACGAACACGAACCTCCAACTTTATTCTAGGTATCTGCATGCCCACGAAACATGGCACTTGCCAGAACGAACGAGGGCTCTAGAGTGGCAACGAAAGGTCGGTTCTCGGCCTACGTCCCTCATATTCGCCCATGTAAGAGATGTTAGGATACGATTCTTATTACGGAGTACTCGGGATGCATTGTGTAGCATTTTGTGAATAAGGTTTGCTGTGAACCCTGATGCGTACTCCAGAACACCTATACAAAGGTTCCGCAGAGAGCACGCACGAATTAGCTCCAGTCTCTATATTAACCTCGCGTTGCCAACAAGCCCCTCAACGAGACAGAAAAAGGTATCAATGGGGGTCCAACATGCTACCGCGCCTCAAACCAGATACAAATGCTCAAGTCAATGTTCAACAAACCAAAATCTCCCATGATGTTCTCGGCCGGTGGGTGTGCAGCACATGGGCCAAGGTGAGTAACAATGGCGGCGATCCGTTTGATGTAGTCGTGATCAGTACAAGAATGTTTGGGGGGTACATGGCCGACAAGCTCTATTGTGGCGCTAAGAATATTGGCCTCCGGGTGCTTATCGTTACATACATGTAAAGCCAGATCATTCCTGCTGCCCACCCATGCCCAGAACCTGCCCTAACTTGGGTTACGTGCCCTAACCAATAAACTCGTAGCAGGAAACGATCGAGATCCTAGGCCTTAAACGAAACATTGAATGGGTGTCGCGCCAAATGCCGACTTTCTTCGCTCTTCCCCCAGCTAACCCCATAGTTCAAGGCTGTTAAAACACCCGGGCAATTAATAGAGGACGCCCTGCTAGGTGTGTAAGGCAAAGCGCCGGAGTCAGGATTATCCCCCTTTGACAAATACAGCAGCGCGTATCTGCTCTTCGATGCCACCCGGGAAGACATAGAAAGGACATTGACGCTTGGAGGCAGTTGATGCTTCTGCCGCACTAACTATGCGGGCATATTAAACCACGTGTTTTTAGCTTTGTCGTAGATTCTAAAGTTTGTATTAAGTAGGTATATGTATCCACTATTGCTGGTACATAGAATAAACTCAAACGTAGAAAGAAGATAGCCTTTTTAGACGTTACAGTACTTACTAATTGGGATTTTACTGATAAACCTATTAATGTCGATCAAGCGACCCTTTTGGCATGCTATTACAAATTGTTTATTTTACTTTTGTGTAGATAACCGTTACTCACGTAGACTGGCTAATATTGTTAATACAACGGTGCTTGCTTGAGTTGCTGTAATGGTCTGGGCTATGCCCGACTTTATTGTTAGAAGCTGCCCTTGGAAGCCTATATAGTGTCAATTGAGCAAGTCGTAGTCGACAGGCTTGTTTAATTCGTACCAGACCAGACTCGACCTTTTGACCATAGAAGCTTTGGGGGACGGGATTGCGCTGACACTCGCGATAGCCCTATTACCACGGCCTTAGTCTTCAGCAAATCAAGGGTTTCCTTCAGCGCGGGGAAAGATTACGATATAAGTGGCTTAAAGCTTGAATTACAGAGTTGTAATTCAATAACTTTAAATACTACAAACTAAAGTCTAGAATTAATTTCGGCCTTTAATACTAAAAGTAAATTTCTAAAAGTCTAATATTTATATAGTAACTTATAGTAAAAGAAATTTAAGTTCTAGTAAGTAAATTAAAAAGTATATATATAAAATTAAAGTATAATATTAATTT